TCTCTGCTTTCTGCTCTGATGCCTGGGCACTGCTGCCAGCTGCGTGGAGTCCACAGCTCTCCCATACAGGGCTGTTCAGGGAACTTGCGGCATCTTCTCCCTCAGTCTCCTACAGGGAGCCCAGGATGCGAAGGGCAGCTTCTTTGTTTCCCCCAGTCCACCGCCCGACACCCAGGGTTCTAACCTGTGGTAGCTCTTATGTGCAGATCCCACACTCAGATGTGCTGGTGTGCAGTATGGGTGTTTTTTGTTGGGCTTTAGATGTTCAGCTTATTATTGTTTCAAGGGGAGAGATCTGTGGACGTCTCTCACTCTGCCATGTCTCTGATGTCTCTCTCTAAAGTCAACTTTTTAACAATTACTTTTATTTTCTGTACACTAGCAATGAATAATTAGAAACCAACAAACTGTTCAAGTATCATTTGTAAAGGTGGGGGCTAACTAGGTATAAGTCTAACAAAATATGTGTAGGATCTGTATGCTGAGAACTATAAAACACTGATTAAAGAAATCAAAGAAAACCAAAATGAATGAAGAAAATGTGTTCATGGATTGGAAGACTCAATATTGTTAAGATGTCAATTTTTCCCAAACTGATCAATAGATTTAATGCAGTCTCAACCAAAATCTCAGCTAGATTTATTTTAAATTTAGACAAGCTGATTCTAAAATTTATATGGAAAGGTAAAATCTAGGATAACCAAAACAGTATTGAAAAAGAAACAAAGTTGGAGGACTCATACTGCCTGACACTAAGACATAATATAATGCTAAAATAATTAAGACAGTTTAGTACTGGTGAAAAAAATAAGTACACAGAGCTGTGGAACAGAATAGGATAGAAATAGATACACAAATACAGTAACTGATATTTTTAAAGGTGTAAAAATAATTCAATAAATGGTGCTTGACCACCTGAACATCCTCATACCAAAAAAGGAATTCCTCCTATAAAAATTTAACTCAATTGATCCTGGACCTAAATATGAAAGGTAAAACTATAAAACTCTTAGAAGTAAATGCAGGAGAAACTCTTCATGACCTGGGGTTAGACAAAGAGTTCTTAGATAAACACCAAAAGCACCATCCATAAAAGAGAAAATTAATAAACTGGCCTTCATCAAATTAAAAACTTTTGTTCTGCAAAAGATACTGTTAGAATGTAAGGAAGATATATGAATTGCAAATAAGAACATGAAAAGGTGCTCGACATCACTAGTCATTAGAGAAATGCAAATTAAAACCACAATGAGATTTCATTCTGTACTTTATAGAATGGCTAAATTAAAATACTGATAATACCAGGTGTTCTTGAGGATATAGAGCAACTAAAACTCTCTTACATTGCTGGTGGGATTGCAAAATGATAACAGTTACTCTGGAAAACAATTTGGCAGTTTCTTAAAAAGTAAAACTTGTACCTCCCATTTAACCCAGCATTTTTCCTAGAGAAATAAACTGTTCACACATAAACCTGTGCACAAGTGTTTCTAGTAGCATAGTTCAAAATCACCAAAATCTTGAAAGGACTTACATGTCCTTCAGTGGGTATTATGGATAAACTAATTTGGTATATCCACTCAATGGAATACTAGTCAGCAGTAAATAAAGACACAAACATTTTTATACATGCAACAAAATAGATGAATCTCAAATGCAGTATGCTAAATAAAAGAAGCCAGTCTCATGATTACGTACTGTATGATTCCATGTATGTGACATTTTGGAAAAGGCAAATTATAGGAACAGAACAGATCATTGGTTGGCAGGACCTAGGAGGAAGTGGAGGGTCTGACTTAAAAAAAAGGATGTAGGAATTAATTGTTCTGTATCCTGTTTGTGGAGGTGGTAACAAGATACTTATATACATATGTTATAAAACTCATAGAACTGTAAGCCTAAAAAGTGAATTCTGCGTGTAAATTTTTAAAACTAGTAAAAATACTTCTCACCGTGTATGCATTTCTCAAAGTTCTTTTAATGTAGCCATTGTAAAAGGAGTAGCTCTTTTAATGGAGCCATTGTAAAAGGTGTAGAATGGATCTCATTGTGGTTTTAATTAGCATTTCTCTAATGCCTAGTGATGTTGAGTACCTTCTCACTGTGTCTAAATTTTGCATCACCTAAAAGTAAAATTGTAAACAAAAGCTTTTGGAGGATGGGAGAGAAACACCTAGGTGTTCTAATTAGAAAAATTATACCTTAAAGTGTGAAAATATAATTGAATTTATTATGCCAAGGGTCCATTTATTTTCCTTTTCAGCAGGTAACCATGTTGTCTCTTCTTCACAATATGTTGTTGATTCACTGATTGTTACTTAATAATGATGGATAGTTTTCTGACCACAAGCTAGATAAGAGTTCTTTTTTGTAATCTGTTTCTCTGCCACATCAATTCAGGTTCATCCTATCTCCCTGTCTTTGCCTTTTGCTCACAATTCTTTCATCTGCGAAGGGGAAAAATTTAAGTTAGGGAAAATCTGTTTCAACTGTTCTCTATGAATATTTTACATTTAAGGTTTAATTATAAGTTATATCTTGACTAGCAGATGCAGTTTACACTGTATTAGCTGTGATCATTTTTGGACCTTATAATAAACTAACAGGGGCTTTATCTTAAACATAGATCATTTGCAGTTCTTTGAATTGAATGGTTATATTTTAGCACTTTGCTGTGGGTGACAGTAGATGATGTCAGATTAAATTTATATTGATCTCCTCTTAGTGTTTATCTCTGGTGCATGTGCAATTTCTTCAGCACCAGAGAACCTTTCAGAGGCATTCTGTCAATACAGCTACCTGACAGTCATTTGTATTTGTAAACTGTGCATTTGGCACCTGCTGTTCTCTGTTGCATTGGAGCTAGTGGGGAGCCAAAATGGGTGTACAGTGGAGTTATTGGTTGGTACATCTCAGTGGGAGTTATTGAAGGGAAGAAACAGCACTTGTAGGACCTCAGGAGAGGATAAAAAAAGAAGCTGGTAATATTAACACAAGCCAGCCATTCTTTGCTACCAAAATTAATGATTTAAACAGTCAATTCTACTTAAGGAATTAAAGTGTTTGTCCATCTGCATTTTAATTCTGTAATAGATATGAAAAATAAAAGGTTTCTATTTAAATATATACAGTGAATTTAAAAAATATCACCATCTCAGTACCAGACAGTTCATATAAGCAGAAATATAAATTAAGACAATGGAAAAATGCTTAATTTTTGAAGAAATGGAAATTAAAATGCAGATGTCTTTTACTTATCAAATTAGCAAAGCAACTTTTAATAATAAGGACAAAGGCTCTGGCAAGATTTCAAAGAATAAACATAGACAAGTAGCAGCAAAAATTGTCTGATATTTTGTGAGTATAATTTACCCACACTTTGTCAAAAGTTCTTATATTCTTTAACCCCAGAACTCCTGCTTTATTGGCTATAACTCAAGGAAATAATTACAAAGAAAAGGCTGATACAGGAAGTTCTCACTTAGACATCATCAGTAGGTTCTTGGAAACTGCAGCTTTAATTAAAACATCCAGTTTTACCATAGACTAATATATAAATATAAATGAATTAAGTTCTCATGGCATCTTTCTGGTCACCAAACTTCTAAATGAAGACCCAAAACACTTCTAATATTAAACACTGAAATAAATGTGAGCTGTACATACAAGAATAATTAATAAAAACAAGATAATGGTTTGCCAACTTGCTTATTCCAGTCCAGGCCAGAGCCTACCTCAGCAGCTCAGGGTACAGGATGGAACCCAACCCTAGGCAGGACACCCTTCCATCGCAGAGCCATCCATACTCACTCAAACTGGGACAATTTAGATACACAAATTCACCTTACCTGCACATTTTTGGTATGTGGGAGGAAACTGGAGTCCCCTGGAGAAACCCATGCAGACATGGGGAGAACATGCCAATCCACACAGACACTAGCCCTAGCTGGGAATTGATTTTTTTTTCTTTTGAACACTATAATGAAACGTTATTTGAGACTCTGCTGTATATAAATCTGCATTGCTTTATAATGGTGTATTTTGCTACGATGGATGTCTCTACTGCAAATTTGCTTATACCCTGATTAGTATGAGAATTATGTCAGTGTATTAGAATTATATCAATATAAAATGGGTTGTGTTCGTTTATGTTATTTTCCTAAGAATATTTTGAAGCCATCAGAGAAAGCGTTTTCACCATTAAAAAGAATGCTTTAGTAGTAGATGAAGACCTCAAAAAAAAAAAACTAGTTTCATGGCCTTGAAAAATGCTTTTGCTTTTCACAATATTAAGCTATCCAGTGAGATGGCCCATGTGGTTAAATAAATTGTAAAAAAATTTCCCCTTGTGTTTTAAGAAAAAACCATGAAAACGCTACACCCTGCCTTAGATTATTTGATAAAACTGGTTCTATTGGCCATGAATGCCCTAAGGACCTGTATTTCAAAAGAGGATTTATGTAAGCTCCAGGTTAACCTTACAGAGGATCATCTGGCTGAACAGGCTCAATACTGGTGGAGGGTAACAGTGGTAGTATTTTTGTTCTAGGCTCTTGGTAGTACTCTGAGTACAATGCTACATAATTTTAAGTGGTTAACACACTATTTTTCCCTTGAGCCCTGTTATTTTTAGTGTGATTGATCAGAATATAAGGTTTTTTAGTTACTTACATTAAGGGAAATATATAAATGCCAAACAATATGGATGATTAAGTAAGTTTTATGACTGCATCTTGATAGATTCTGATGCATCTGTTAAAACAATAAGCATAGAAAAATTTTTGTGAAACAAGTGCAAGAATTAGAACACAAAACTGAGTATCTACATATCATGATTACAAATGTGTAAAAGTGTTCAATGTGTACCTGGCCTATAATAGTTATGGTGAGATGGTGGGATTCTCGGTAAAAAAAACTTTAATTCTTTATGCGAAGTTGGTAAAATAGAGGTAAGTCCATTTTAACAGTTAAGCTTAATTTTTATTCAACTTTGATTTTAGAATTCCTGGGAAACTCAAGCAGTTTGTATCTGACTTACATTCTGGAAAACTTCACAGAGAATTCCATCATGGTCCTGACCCAACCGATATAGCCCCAGGACAGGTAGGACTCATCTCTTTTTACAGCAGGAACTTTTTTTCTTTTTCAGTTGGTGTTGAAGAGGATCTAAAGCTCTTGCATAGCCTTGAGTTTCTGCTCCTGAATGTCTCTGTAAAGAAATTCTGAACAAACTCTGATAGTATGCAAATTATGTTCCTTTTTAAATTAATTTAAATATTTTAGACCTTCAGAAAAGTTGCAGTATTTTGGTCTAAGTATGCCTTTTGTGAAATATGGCTATAAAAGAGTTATATACAGTTGGCTTTAAATAGAAGTAGGAGGCAGGAAATGGAAATAGGTAGATCAGTGGAAAAATCAGTGGATTCCATTAATTATTCCAGCTGTCCTTTGTAGCTGGGAGATTGACCACACTATGAAGAAAATGATGATTTGGTATTCTTGCTCAACCCTCCTAAGAGCTCTCACCAATCCAATATTCATAATGCCAGAAACTTATGGTTTAATGCAGGTTTTCCATTTGAGATTTAGAATGCTTGACATTTTGTATTTTTTTTTATATACTTTTTTTAACTTGAGAATTTTACTCTATCTTTTAATTTCTGTTACAAGTAATTTCTGTGTTCCTGCTTTGTTAAACACCTCTAAACTTATATTTTGATGCATTATCAATTTATATCATGTCTTTAACCACTATACTGAGAGGGGATATGACATATACCTCTCTTATTTCATATGCCCAGAGCTTTTATTTTGCCTAAAGAACCTCCACATGTAAAAGAAAAATAAAAACTAAGTGAATTTTACTTTAAGTCAAATTGAGAGTTCAGAGTTCTCTTTAGGAATCTGATGATACGCTTTTTCCTTGAAATCTGAGGTCAGATTTTTCTTTGATAATTAAGCAACTATAGAAGCAGACAAACTGTTAACAGTATCCCAAAGGTGATTATTTTCTTCAGAAAAGTAGGCCTGCTTAGTGTTTTATCAGATTAGGAAAAGATGTAGCTTACCATTATTGTATTATGCTAATTTGTTTCAACTTCTCCATTAGACAGTTGAATTCCTTGTATTTTACTTGTTCATATTGGTGTAGTAATGGCACCAAATACACATTTGTTTTATAGTAATATAATTTCAACAAATTAAACCAAATATATCAACAAAAAATAAAAAATGTATTGAAGTGGAACATGATAAAGTTATATGGAAAATTTGTAGACACATTGTTTACCATTAGAATGGGAATGTGCTATTATACATAGGATGTAATATAAGCACTATGTACCTGTGTTAACTACAGGGGATATTAAAACAATGACAATCATGTTTGCTCTTGAAGAATTTACAGTGCAGAGATAAAGGATACACTACACTGCCTTTCCTTAGAAATTCTTAGAGGTCACTCTTATAGCTCTATGTATTTGTCTACTGTGCACAAGTAAAATATAGCAGAAATTAGTTTCTTGCAGTATTTAAGTACTTGCAGTATTTGTTTTCCTCCTTATTTCAATTAATTTCTGGCATCGAGGTAATTGTTAAATAAGTATTCTAGCTACAGAGTAGGTGCCTTTTATTCTCTTATCAGTCATTTGTAAGGGAAGGGTTTATTTAGGCCAACTTAGTTAACGGTTGTGCTGCCTCTACAGAATATTCTAAGAAAGCAGCCAGGTGTCAGGTATTTTGTTTCCTTCTACTGCTCCTCAGGAACTGTCAACAGGTCCATATGTAATAGCTCTGGCAGCCCTGCCCTAGAGAATCTGAGTGAGGGAATATGAAATGGGAAAAGCAAGATTTCAAACTTAACTCTTGCCTTTGGCACATAGTAGCTATCTTTTATTGATTATTAAATAGCAAATAATTATAGGACAAGTACCATTCATCTAATACTCCTATTAAAATATAATAACACCATATAATATATTGCTATATAAATGTTTTATTCTTTCTCTTGTAGGAAGTCCAAGATGTAGCAAGCAGTCCACCTGAGAGCTCCTTCCAGAAACTAGCACCTAGTGAATATAGGTATACTTTATTGAGGGATCGAGATGAGCTTTAAAAACTTGAAAAACAATTCGAAAGCCTTTCAAACAGCAGCATCAACTTACGTGGTGGAAATAGTAAACCTATATTTTCATAATTCTATGTGTATTTTTATTTTGAATAAACTGAAAGAAGTTTTGGGTTTTTAATTTTTTTCTCCCCCCGACTCAAAATGCATTGTCATTTAAATATAGCCTCTTTTTAAAAATGTGCTAGGGTTAAAAAAAAATAAAAATCAGAGGCCTATCTTTGCTTTAAATCTGTCCTGTAAAATTTTTATAAATCAAGTGAAAGTGACATTGTCATAAACATACCATTAACTTGCACTACTAGGTTAGGGAGCACTTAGGGGTGTTTCTTGTGTACTATGTGCTTTTCTCTTTTTTCTTTACATATGATCAATTCTGTTGGTATTTTCATTATCATATTTCTCAAAGCTAAGGGAGTACATATTCTGGATACTTGGGAGGGGAATAAATTAAAATTTTCACACTGTGTACTGTGTTTTACTGACTGGTTGGATATTGCTTATGAAAATTCCATAGGGGTATTTTTTGGATTCTTAATGTGTAATTTAAACATACTATGAAGAGGAGAGCCTTAAGCCAGAACATTTGGCAGGAATTGTCCTTATGAATTAAGAAAAAGAAAATGAAAGGTGTTTTTAAATTTCTATGTGTTCGTCTAACAAAGTGGCATATGGATGGCATTTAAAACTTTGAATTGTACCTAAATCTGGGAAAGGAAAATACTAGTGGAGCAGGTTACCAGTATTGAACTAGATAACTTTTAAGGTTCCTCCTATCGTGACACTTCCAATTTCCTAAGAGAAAAACCAGCAAATTGTATTTCAGTTAATTCCAACCTCCTTCTATCTTGTAGTCTTGTTATAGTCTTATAGATCAAAGATAGTAGGTACAAAGGTTTTTAATTTCTTTATATTGTGAAATTTGTCAGAGGACCCTACCCACTCTAGATTCTCTGATTTCCCAGGCCTGCAGTGTACAGTCAAATGGGTCCCTGTGCCAGGCCTCAATACTGCCAGGGAACAAAACCAGAGGGAGAGGACCCTCAGTATCATATCAGGAAGCCCAATACCAGAGGACAGACAGGTTCAAATTGGCTTTCCTCTGGGCCTGGGTTGGTGCTATAGGCCAAGAGTCATTTTATATTTGGAGTCTGAGTCAATCCCAGTTTGGGGAAAGATTATTTTTAAGCTTAAAAGGCTGACATGTGCCATTATATGTAGTATGTAATATATGTAACATCTTCCAATTCTTTCAAAATAAAGTGAATATTTATAATGGATATTTAATGATTGTTATTTTTAAAAATCAGCCTATAATCCATAGTTATGCATGACTTATCCTTCTTTCAGAATAATAAATATTGTTAATAAGATGATAAGGGGCATGTTTAGTATATTTTACCAGAGTAACTAGAAAAGCAGGACAGTTGCCTAAAAGTTGAACCTTCATTGCTTTTAATCAATAACTTTGAAATCAGAGTTGTCTTCAGGTCAGAGGATAGACCAAATCTGAGGTCGTCAGAATGAAAATTCACATTCAACAAGCTAGTACACAAAACCAAAAGTAACATATGCAGTTCACTGGAATAAATTTATAATCCTGTAATTGTCCTTAAAAAATAATAAACGAAAGATAACACTCAAGTATTGGGTTGCAGAGTGTTGGCTTGACAGTAGTTAATATGAGAAAGGCCTCAAGGAGCACATGTTCAATGTGATCTAAGATAATTGAGTGGTTTAAAAAAAGTGAGTAGATTTGAGGATGCATTATTTAGCATTCATGCATACTGGGACTTAGTGCCACTATCACTGTCTTCTTTAGACTGAAGCCATCAAGGGCAAGGATACTAAATTTTATATCTGTATCTCTACTGTCTAGCATTTCTAGTAGTAGTCATCATCAAATGTTTATTGAATGAGATGCAAAATGACCTTGTTTAAATTTTGTATCCCTGAAGGACTCGGCGGCACTCATCAGGAATTTTATAAAAAGTCATGAACAAGCTTAAGTGAAAAACAGCAAATACACTGCAGAAAATAAGTTCTTGTTATAGAGTTGGTGCATGGATGATAGCCTGTGGCTAGGGAAATGAGGGCTGATTCTGCAGGGCCTTGTATGTCAAGTGAAGGGGTTTGATACTGTATCTTATAGGCAGTAGATATTCATCACCAGATTTTAAGTGGAGAAGTATGTTCATATTTAAGAAAGAATACTATGGCAGGTCTAGGTATAGTAAAATGAGTCCAGCAGAGAAGAGAGAATGGTCAGAACTAAGACAGTGACAGCAGAGACAGGAATAGATACAAGATATGGCAAAGATGTAGATTCCATAGGGCTTTGTAACCAGTATAACGAGCACTTCCAGAAACCTAGAACTCACAATTTAGACTTCTTCCTCTCTGAACCATGAATCAGAATATTAGAGGTGGAAGTTTCATTTTATTCAGTCTACTCTTTATCAGGCTCCTCAGCTGTGAAGAGAGGAAATAAAAGACTAGACTGAAGAACACATTTGAGTGCAAAACTATAACTAGAAGCAGGCCCTTCTGCTTGTCAGCCCACTATATTTTCCAGTTTTTCAAAAATTGTTCCAGTAGTGAGGGGGACCACAAAAGGATGAAAACTTTAGATGAAATTCTGACCATTTAGAGAGAGTAGGCATCTAAAATATCTCAAAGCTCTCCAATGAAGTCAAGTTGTCAAAAATCATGTACAAAAGAAGAAAAAAATGGTAATGATAAAGGCCAAAAAGAGGAGAGTGAAATATATAACTCCGAAATGTTAAAGCTCAGAATGAACTTAATTTGCAGAAAATGCTAAAGTTGCCAAGAAAGGAGGTATAAAAAAAAAAAAAAAAAAAAGCAAAAAATGGATAAAGGAGTGTAACAAGAAAAGCAGAATAACTGAATTTTTATTTTTTCTCTGACAAGGCGATATGGTCTGGCAGGAAAAAATAAAATGACTGACAAAACTACAAAAGTTAGAAGTAAAGAAAAATCTTGCCACCTTAAATTTCAGGGCTTAGGCCCAAACTTCAGTATTCCAGAGAGCTGCTTTCTCTGTTAGCAACCATTAGGAATTTTTGAGAAACCATGGAGAATGTAAGGTGACAGAAGACTAGAAAGGGACAAATACTATTCCAGTTTTCAAAATAATTATAGTAAATGGCTTTACCTATTTTTCTAAATGAAAATCCCATGAACCAAACTAAAATGTTAGTCTCTGGGGGAAAGATAAAGTATAAAGAATAAAACAAAAATCAATTTTTAAGCCCAATTAAGACTAGGAGGACAATAAGTTGTTTCAGGACTTAAATTGTTTTATGCTGATTATAACTGGTTTATGTGTTCATTAAAACAGGCTGGATAGGACCTCTGCTTGGCAACTGTTTTTTAGCTGTTTGAATTTTTGTATGTATTTCCAAGTAATAAAACTATAAAATATTTCTATATTTGAGACTTTTTACTAATTTGTCTTAACATGTTGTGAACATTTTACACAGAATACATATGACCAGAGTCACAAGCTTTTGCAGTTTAAAGTTTTTTAGATTATTGTACTTGAATCACAATGGGAAGCTATATAAATCCTTATGTTGATAACTCAACCCTCGCCTTTAGTTGGTATCAAAGCTCCCTCTTGCAGAACATGCTGGGGAAGGGCTAGCGTGCCCTTAATAGGTTTTTGAATCACTAGAAGAGGAAAACTGCAGCTTACAAATTGCTTCTCTAAAATGTCCCCTTTCCTCTCCACTCCCCTACCTTGCCTAGTAAATTCTTTCTATCCATCCTTCAATGCCCAGGACAATGATCACCCACTGTGGTCCCATAGCCCTTATGTGTTTTAAGAGTATACAGTCTAATATAAAGTTGGAAGTACATGTATCCCTTTTCCTTATGACCATGTGAATGCCCTGGAAACAGGAATGCTAAATTTGTATTCTCAGCAACCTAGAACACTATAAGTGGTCAATAAAATTGATGAGGAAAAAAGCCAAATTACATAATAAATATATGAAAAAAATGAATAATGGACAAGCAAGCATCATCATAATTCAAATGGACTCTGCTGACTCATCTGTGAATCCCAATTACCTGAAGTCTAGTCACTTTTAGTCCTATATCCTAATTGGCTATGGGGTCCTAAATTTTACTTTAGAATAGATTAAAATCTTACACTAACTCAGAGATAATAACTACCAGAATGACACTCAAGTGCCCTCTTAGGCGATGAAGAATCCTGCAGAAGTACTGGAAACCCATGAACGTTACACATTTTCCATGATGTAGATCTGACCCCTAGCTTAGTCATTAGCCTTGAGGGACAGACTATAGTGAGTTGACAAAATACATTGTGTAGTTCATAAAACATCATACATTTACCATTTAGCAAGTATTAATTACCTACTGTTGCCAAGCTAAGGAAGGATACAACAGTGAAGAGACTGTCCCTAAATCACAGGGCTCAAAGTTGAGTGAAGGGACAAAACAGGTGAAAAGGTGATTACAATAGAACATCATAGGTGCTACATTATGAGTTAACCAAAGGGGCATGGAGGTGTGTGTACAGCCTTTGGAGTTGGGAGCCTTCCTAAAAGGAAGTGATTTCTTGAATAGGCACAAAAAGAGCTATATTTTCTTAAATACATCAGGCTCCTTCCCTCCAGGAGAATTATAGTAATAGAGGCTGTCACTGTTCTTAGTAGCTTACTGTATAGCAAAGTATTGTTAGGTATCGTTGCCCTGATTTTTCTCTCCCAATTCTGGGCCATTCAGGTAAAAGATCATGTACTTGCCTATCTGTGCTGTGTCTCGTGTATTTTCCTTACTGGGATGGATGCCAGGGAGGAAGCTATATGTTCACTCTCTTGATCTAGGTGTAAACTTGCCTAGGTAGGATCAGATCAATCTTGGAAGCCTGATACTATGTTTTCTTGCCATAACCACTGCCCAAAAGGGGGAACAATTGAGCATTCCTAGCTATGCATATAGTGAAGGGAGTAGAACAGGGCATCTATTCTGACTTAACAGTTCTTTGCAATTCACAATTACCCCTATCTTCATAATACGCATGACTTCCTGATTTAAAACACTGTTGAATTGTTCATTTCAGAAATTTTCTAGGATTAGAAGGAAAATTCCCTGGTCTGTGGCTTCTGGACTCCAATGTTACCTCTTAAATTTTAGGCTTTTGCTCATGCTCAGTGTTCTGGTACATTTTCTGTTTCCTGGTTCCTCAAAGATTCATAGTAGTATTTTACAATCACATCTACAAGGTCCCATTAACCTTAGGAGATATATATATTTTTTATTTGAGCCTAGAAACAAATTATTTTAAAACACAGATGCTTTTTTGGGGGGGTAACTTCACACTAATTTTCACTGCACTTATATATAACTAGGGTGATCATGTAAATTTTTCATGCAGACCAGGACATTTAAGAGTGAAAGGGAACATTAGTAATAATTTCACCAGCACAACAGATGTAAATCAAAACTGTTCCAGACAAACTGGGATGTATGATCACCCTATTCCTAACTGGATTTTATATAGTTTCACATTTGAATATTCTTAATAGATATGAAAAATATATATTTTCTACCAGGCATCAATCATCATTATACTACCTTCTTAATAATTAAGCCTTTTTAAAAAGTCATTTTAAGAATTCATCTTTATCAAGTCTTCACTCATTTTAGGCATCTCCCCCTAACAGTATTCTTGTAGGTAAATGATACTTTTTCAATAATGTGCCTTTCCTTTAAACTTCATGAAAAAATAATAGTAGTATTAATTGCAACAATAACAGTAGCAATTAACATTTGTGCATCTACTATAAGCCAGCCTCCATTCTAGACACTTAACAGGTATTAATTTTTTTAATCTTCATGACCACCCTGTAAGATAGGCAAGGTATCAATGGGTGTGTGTGTGGTGGGGGTGGAGGGGTGTGAGGAGGTGGGGGAAGTGAGGGGGAATTCAAGGTAGAGAAGGCTAAGGAAGTCCTGAATTGTTTGCCCTCACCTTAACCAAGATAAGAGGCAGTCATTTGTTATAAACAATAAAATCTAGAAAGGAAAGGCTGGGAACTAACATCTACAGAGAATTAGCAAGTACTCAGCACTTTCTTTTCATTCCTATCAAATCACTAAGCTGTTTAGTGGAATAAGTACATGAACCTGAGTATTAGAGACCTTGGTTCAAATCCTGTCAAATGCCTTTTAACTTCAGCCCTGCCCTTCCCTAATTCCAATCTCTGCTTGCCTGACAAGGCAATCTAAATACTTGGCTTTGCTCTGTTTCAATATTAGGCTATCAGATTATAAATCCAATGTGGGTCCTTATTATTGTGACCACTCCAATCCTATGGTAAGACAGAAAGAAGGTAAACCCAATTTTCTCAAACCATTTGTTTCAGTGATTTAGGTCCTATATCCTCTCTCTCCCAAGTCAAGACTTTTAATTGGAAAGAGATAGAAACATGTTTACCTCCAAATTCTGAAATTTTCAGTTCATGACTTCCAAGTCCTAGAGATGTTTTCCTGATTTCCTCTGTTGCATTCATTCCTATGTTATAGTGAATACTGAGCAAAGGTTTGATGTCTTAGAAAGCTTTTTCACATTTCAATACATACCCCTGAAAGACAGCAGAACACACACATTATTCATGTCATCTGGGATTCACTGACAGGAGTGTAGTTTCTCTCCCCCTTCTTATCACTGTACTTCATACCATGAAGTACTCAGAGAAGTAGATAATATGGTCCCTTCCCTAAAAGAAGCTACAATCTAATTGAGGATACCACATAGCTGCAAATGAAATGATTTTATACTTATGAAGTTGTAAATCATTACAGAATTACCCTTTAGTCAGAATGGGAACTGCTGAATGACAGTGGTCAAGAAATATTTGTGTAGAGATGGAAAACTGAACCATGAAGGTTTTGGACACTAAGAGGTAAATTTCATGACTATTTTCTCAGTGGGTTTTAAATAAATATTTATGGAATGAATAGCAGGACAGGAAGAAAGCAGGCATTCAATATTAAGCAGAAGACCTCACAGCAGAGAGGCAAGAAAGCACAAATCATTTCTTATGTGTGAGAAAGGAAAGCAAATGCGCCAAATACACCAAAAACCCAGGGAAATGTGAAGTTTATTTCTAACTTCCCTAGCAACAAAGGCAAAACGAAGAACTCAAGAAGGTTATAGCAGTTTTATCTGATACAAAGCATTATACTGATCCTTTACACACACTCACACACTCTCTGTATTTCCATCTGACCAGCTTCGTCACTCACATTTAATTCCTTGGTTTTCTCTAAGCACACTATGCTCTTTCATGCCCTTTGAACACGCAATTCCTCTGCCACTTGAAAGCCCACAACCCTATCTTCAGTGAGGCATATTCTGCTTCAGGGTGCTGCTCAAATGGTACATGTTCTACAAAGCCTTCCCCTACTTTTTCAGGCAGAGCGAGTCACTCCATTCTCCATGCCCTCACATTACTTTCTTCATTCCTCTTTTAGGATACTTATGTTTACTGCCATTTTGCTTTAGGCATCTTAATTCATTAGCCTGAATGGTTTACAAAGGTAGATGATATAGGTTTAATATTTTTCTATGTATGATCCAATACACAACATCATTCAGTTAAATATTTGTTGAATGAGTGAATTTATTGTAGGTTTTCTTATATATGCACCACTTACAACATAATAAACAAATTCAGTAAGCTTTACAGAATTTGTAGAAATTCTGTTAGGCCTTTTCTTGTGCTGACCCTTGCTAATACCAAGAGTTTAATAATGGAAAATAGCTTTAGGGGGTTTAATTAATGAAACCCAGATAAATCTTTTTAGTGATTAACCTTAATACAAGAAAATCTCAAGTACTTGAGAAATGTATGGATAACATATACTAATGTTTTTCTCAATTATTTGTTAAGTTTCTCACTGGAGCTGGACAATGGTCCATTCAAAGCTGGAGTATCTATACTGCTGAAGAAAAATCCTCACGCTTTGGCTATCAGATGCACAGAAGACATGACTGACATTGATTTAGAGGTTAAGATATTGAATATAATATTTTTCTGGGGAGAGGTTTCTTTTCCTTAGGAAACTTTTAGGCTTGTTCAAGAACTTAAAACAAATCTCAGCTCTGACTAGTATTGTAAAATGTTATATTACAGAAATTATTTTAGTATGTAAAAATGTAAACTTAGCATATTGCCAGTTTGTACCTTTGCCATAGAAAAACCTAAAATCATTTTTATGGAATGTCTGATTTTTAGTGGCATTGTCAGATGATGAGTAGTGAATCTGAAGTGGTAAACCTGGGGCCAAAATGTGGAAGGTTGTGAATGCCAACCTTAGGGGTTTGAACTTTGTCAGGTATTCAATGGGAGACACTGAAAATATTTCAGCAGAAAAATGAAAGCCAGACCTCGTTCTTATTCTTGTGGCAGTGATGTGAGGAATGGCTTAGTCAGGGAAGATGAGGTAGGGGGTATGAGGTGATAAAGTCTTTTACTAGCGTGACGGCCATGAATCTATTTAGAAATTTATGCCACTGCAATTCAAAGTAGAACTGACAGGACTCAGGTGAGAGGCCAGATATAAAAAATGGTTGGAGAATCCCTGGCTGGAATGGGAGAAGAAAGCCACCCCTGAGAAAAAACTTACTACAGGCAACAAAGTCAAAACTAGAACTCTGATCTCCTGATTCTCCTCTATTTCTCTTTCTACTATAGTTGTTGCCTGATTTAGAATGTTAAAGCCAGTCTGAAAAACAAACAAACAAAAAAATGACCTCAGCAGGCAACTTGATATGGTGTAACAAAAACTCAGTTAAATGACTTTGAGCCTTTTTTTTTTTTTTCTGTAGACATGGTTATATTTCTAGCTTTTGTGCTAACTAACTTTGATCTTGGGCAAATCATTTGCCTTTGACACCTTTTTCACTTTTCTTTCAATTTATTTCTTTTGTTAATATTGCACATATGTATTGCTTTTCTCCCACAGTAAATAATTCTTTGATGTGGATATTTTATCACCAATAGTTTATAATACCCAAGAAGTTTCTCTGTCGAATGTGTCAAATTAATATAGTGAGAACCACATATTAGGAACAAAATGAAGTGTTAATAAAACTACACACAGAACTGGAACTGTTTACATTCATTTAGGCTATCAGGAAAGCATCCTACCTTTTATTAGGCCTCTGACTACTTATGAACATTGTCTAACATTCATAAGTACCTGAAAGCACAGCCCCATTATACTTTATTACAAGAGAAAAAAATGTCCTACTTCATCGTTCCTCCCAAAGATTTCATACAGCAGCAGTGAAGAGCAAGAGGGACCCTAAGACAGACCTTTTAAAGTTAACATAAAGTACGGCTTGGTTTGTTTTCTGTATTTTCACTGGAGAAAATATATATTATGTATTTATATTTTAGGTTTACCTCAACCTTTTGTGTTTGATATTACAATTATCCAGTCCTTATTCCTGTGCAAACTACTTAATGGCACTTATGGGCAGGCAGGCAGCCCACAGGTTACTCGTAGTATTCTCCCTTTACAGCGCTCAGCATCAGTATAACCTAAACGTTCTTGCTCCAACAACTCTGGCCAGCGTACCCCCTTTCTGAGCATCCTTAGGTTACTGGCTCCAGCATAGGTGGGTAGGAGAGCTAAGAGAGCAAAAGAAAAGCAAAACTGAGGAAGGAACAGAGGAGAGGTCACAATGACAGAGAGTGACTAATAAACACTGAGATGGCTTTCTTATATGGTTTGCAAAATATCTTTAGAGGCAATTCCAAAAAAAAGTTTCAAAAATGTTCTAAGTAATACTAGTGTCACTACAGTAAGCATGTGGCTTCCTATGGGTACCATTTTAAATGATAATACTATCAATTATTTGATTCTGAGTTATGATAGATTTGTCTTAGACAATATTACTTTAAGAAAATTTGTTAGATGTGTGGATGGGCTAGAAACACTTTTAATTTTATAGTCCAAAGACCAAATTCAGCACTATGTATTTCTGCACTAGCCACCATTAAACACTTTGAGGCTGCTTTGAGATTTTTTTTTTAATAAAAGTAAAATGGCACATATAATTTCAAAGTAACTCTGCCTTACAAAATACATGGGTGTTGGGTGAAGCAGAATGAATAGCCCACCTCAATTTCGTATACAGAAGCAGCACATTATGAGACTAACAGGAAATTTTTGTAGTTCAACAGGCCCAATTAACCTCTATTTGTAAATCATTTAAATTCTCTCAGAGACTCGTTTCCCTTACCTATAAAATGCCTAGTGAAGTGCCTAGCAAACATAAGATATTCAATGAATATCAGTTCTCCAATGAGAGGGATTTTGTTTTTTTTGTTTTGTCAAACTAAGGGTCTCAACCAATCAGTAGATTATGAAATCAATTTAGTATGTTGCAACCAGCATATTTTAAAAACAATAAAAAAAAAATCAGAGTGCACCACACATAACGGTAAGTATTGTTCTATTATGCATATGCTGAGTTTTGATATAAGTGCATTTTTTACGTGGGTTATAACCAAAAAGTTTCACTCTGCTCTACAAAGAAATTATCAGATTATTATATCAAAAAAGCTTTTAGGAGTGTTGCCTTTATTTAAATGAACCTCTATAAATTTTAAGAACTTAAAGTGTCCCTCACCTTTTAACTTGTTGCAGTAAAAATAAGATATGAATCATAGAGAAGATTCAACCTAATACTGTAGGACATTAAATTCAATTTTAAGATTGAATTCTGTGTCATACTAATTTATACTTCTTATACTTTGTATTTTGTAGGTATATGATTTATAGTTGATTAAACGCTTCTAGAAACTTCTACAAAAAGTTGGCTATTAGGTTCTAATATTGGAAAATTAGATACAATTTCTAAATAATTTTAAATTACAAAACTTTTTAAAAGGACTGTAACTTGTCTAATCATGAGGAATGCTGGAGTGATATTCCAATCTTAATGAGTAGTAAACACTAAAGGCCTATATGAACACATATACTGGTGTCTCACACTGGCTCAGTAAAAATGAGAGATCTCAAAACAAAACATGAGCTTCAATTATAGGCCTCCTCTTTCCTTCAGGTCCTAATATAAAACCAGTCCAACAGTATAAGAAGTTCCTAGTTAAATTAAGATTATGGGTTAAAAAGGATAGTCAATTTTGAGTTGGTAGAACGGGAATAAAATGTAGTAATAAAGACTGGGCCACGTTTAAGGGTAGAATACTACAAGTTACAGAATTCAATGATACAGTTGAATTTTAACGTAACTATATCTTAAATTTATAATTTTAGCTGACCAGGCCAGATTGGTCATTATTAGAACCACCTGTGGGACTGAAGTGTAGAAATCTTGTTTTTTTAAATATGTGCCCATTCTGGTTTGAACACCCTATGTTAAAGGGACTATAAAGGTCAGGGGAAAAAAAAAAAAAGGTGGAGTTCAAAAGTAATTATCCCAATTTTATAATATCCAATATCAAATACTGGATCAGAATCTGACACATATTCAAAGTACTTCCTTCTTGATATTACATTAAAGATGCAAGTCAGTAAGTAGCAATACAGTACTTGATATTTTCTAGTTATTTAGTGACAATAAAAATGGTGCTTTTTCTCTTTGGAATTTATTGGTGAGAGTCAAAAAGTATGAAAGTGAAAGGTCTCTTTAGATTAGACACAGAAGTAAAAGGTAGCAATCAATAAAAGTTATTAAGAGTAAACAGCATGAGAGAAGTGATAAACCCTTCAACTGCCTGATAAATCTGTTTGACTCCTGAGCAGAGAAAGCTCACACCTTTGGTGTAGGCACCCATTCCTCTGTCCTCAGAGAAGGGTAAAGAGTAAGGCAAAAGGTGGTTCCTTCCTAAATCAAATGAGTTGGGGGCAGAGGATAAGGCTACCTGTAATATTATTTTTTTTTTCTAAATTTAAAACCATTTGCTATTTGAGACAAATATTGGGTTGGGTTGGGCCAGGCCAGGCCAGGCCAGGCAATGCTTGCTGTCAATGTCAGGTGTTGGGATTAGCACCACAAATCCTTCATCAAGACTGAGTCTTGGCACCAAGCTGTGTCCATCATCATCTTGAATTGAGAAAAGGCAAGCATGAATGCCATTCTTAGAAAGAAACAGCAGCTGTGAAAAGCAAAGGAAAGCACAGGATAGCAAAGCCTTGGGGAAAGGGTGGTGGTAACAGAAGTGAAGTAGAAAGCTAGTTCTTAGCTTCACCAAGGGCTGGCTGAAATGACTTTGGGTCAGAGATTCCCTGTGTGGCAGGTATATCAGCCCCTTGAAATTAGAAGATGCCCCAAGAAATGATGTGGTGTTCCCCCTACCCCCGCTTATTTTTTTAGCTCAAACTTAACAATGTTGGAAATATTTGGAGATTTCTCTCTCTCTCTCTCCTACAGGTGAGAGGAAAAGATGAACAGAGATGGGAGACAATACAAAAAAAAATAAAGATTATGGGAAAATCCCTCGTTATATATGGGTAGAATTTACTCCACAAGTCAAAGAACTTTTCAAAATGACAAGGGAAAGAAGGCAGAGGGTACTGAGTCTTTGAGGTGTTAAGAAGCAGGCTGATAGAGCAAGCTTAGTGACTGGCTTAATAATATTGTCTCCTACCACTTGAGATTCTGTCTTTATCTAAAAAGAAGCAGAAGGAAGAGTTCAGAGAAGGAACAGTGTCACATATTACTATATTTGAAAGAGAAGTTAGCCTTTCTTTCCATTTGCTTACACTATTAGTCTCCCTCACCAGAAAATATAATTGGACCAAACTGCAATAGGGTTCATCAAATGGATCATTATGTAGTTCACCTGTGCCCCTCTCTAGATCCTGACTTCCCTATTTGATAAGAAAGGCTCTTGAACTCCCATTCCTTTCTTTCCTAACAGGCCTAAATAATCTCCCATATTTAGGAGACAAATAAGCACATTTATATATACTTATTAGCCTTAGGGTCTCCACACATCTCATGTCCTTATTAAAGTTACAGATTCAGTTTTCACATTTCCAGGCAGAAAATCTGCTCCCTGGCAGTCTTTAAACTTTACCTGCAAATATTATACACCCTCAGCCCAGGCCCCTTCATCTCTAACACCTCCATTAACACCCCAGCAAACAACAAAATATATCTACTTATCACAGTTCAATCCCACTTAAACATCTATAGCCATTATCTTGATAAAATCATGTTTCTAAAGTTGAGTGTCCAACAGCAGCAAAAGTCCTCATTAGGATAGATAAGTTGGTGCCAATAATACTGAAGTTTGGTTTTTAACTGCATTTTTTGTCATTTTGGCTGAGATCTGGACAGCTGGAAGTGAGCTTCTCCATCATTTTCTGTTTCTTTCTTTGTATCAATTTTCCACCTGTGAAGCCCAACACCCCACCACCAAGTGCAGCTGCAATTCCTGCCACTTTGAAGCCTGCAAGGAGGCCAATCGGACCCCCCACCACTCCTCCGATGAGTGCACCTGCCACAGGCAGAGCTGCCAGCTTGTATTTTGCAGCCTGCAAAAAAAAAAAAAATTCAATTTAGAAATTGAGTTGAGAATATCTGCCTGCGGTGATGTGCATTTTCCTCCCATTACTCCTGGCAATGCCTCTTTAACTCTTGGTACATAATTAACCTTAGAGATTGTATTGAGGGAAGGGAGGGTAGAGAGAAAGTATTCCACAGGTACTACAATTGCTCCAGATCTCAAAACTAAAAGAAATAGGCTACAAAGAATGAACTTCTACAAATTGATTTTACTTGCTAAACAATCAATCCACTAGCCTAGCTGGCTTAAACAGTTTCGGTGGCCACAGATATCCCTGAAGCTTTTATGTTGCACAGAAGATTATTCCATGGGGTTAAAAGCAACATTCTATGGAAAATAGATGGTCCCACTCCACACATGCTATCACATCTTTAGACTTTTGCCCCTACTAGATTCTGGCAACTCTCTCTACTCCTCTCCCTGAACCTCTGCAAATATTCCCTTGTAACGCCAAATGCCTTATGGTGAGGCCTCGGTTTATTCTCTTTGAAAAAATTTCCCTCCCCATAGAATAAACCTTAGAGTAGAATATTACAAAAGCCATTGATTTCTTGCACTACCTATGTGTCACTTCTTCCTTATTTCCTTAATTGCTGGTTCCCTCAACATTAAAGAGAACAGATCAATTGGGTTAATACTACAGATTCCTGGGAGCCAGAGTACCATTGATTTGTCAGCAGGAGCAGAATCTCACCTTCCCCAAGTTTTTGGTTCCCTCTTCAACATTCACAGCAGCACTGTTGACATGGTCTTCAATGCTGTCAATCTTCTCCTGCTGAGACTAGATGCAAAGGAATTATGAGTGAGCGATCCTACTGGGGAGCAGCAGAGAGCCAATACACACTATTTTAATTCCTGTAATCAGGGCCCATGTACTGCAGTCTTGCAGTCTTAATAGCAGTTCATTAATAGCATCTGATAAACCATGTCGTAAGTACAAATTCACTTCCATGAAAAAAACAGGGTGATTTAATTATTAGGTAATAAAACGGTGACATCTTTATAGGAAAAAACATCTCACAGTAAAATTCATTCAAACATGCAAACATATTATTCTCCAAGTGAAACTAATTTCTAGGAGAAAAAAAAATCCAAAGAAGGATTTACATGTCATGTTGGGTTTGATGGAAAAAAACAAAATCAAACAAAAAAACCTCCCAAATGTCTCTCATTTGAAGATTCAGTTCAAAACAGGCAAATTTACCCTTAGGAGTAAAACACTCTTGATCCAATATGTAAAAATTATTATGTTTTAGGAATAAGAATACAATATGATTTGGCCTGCCATGAAATCTTTCCACTTGTGATATGCAGCTGGGAGCAGAGCATGAATTTACTGGCCTGTGTTTTACATCTATACAACTTTAATACATTTTAAAATCATGACAAGTTAAAATGTTTCAGATCAAATATATTAATAAATCATTCTATAAAAAATGGCAACACCTGCAGTGACACAACAGAAATTATGACTCATGGAATCTCTGTATAGAAGGAATGCTTAGGTCACTGAGAACAAGTTTCCCCTCAGATGTGTGAGGCCTCACTACAACATTTCTGACAAGTGGTTACTGAACCTCTGCTCATACACCTCCAGTGACAGGAACTCATTACTTGCCAAGGAACGCATTCCCATCTTCAAATCAATTTAATTTAGACAGACTTTACATACAATAATATGCACGCATTTTAAGGATATAGTATGATGAACTCTGACAAATATACAAACCCATGTAACCGCCATCATATCAGTACATAGACTATTTAGTTTTTGTTTTTGTTTTTTAATTCACAGGAAAAAGGGAATCCTTCTTTGATTCCGGCTAAATGCCAACTTCTACAATGATTGTGAAATAATTCAACTTTAATCCTGAAGTATTTTATTGTCCTTATATAACGGGCCTCTCCACTTTTACTGAAGTAGATATAATGAACACACTTCGAATTCCAATCATTTCATTTGAGAGCATGAAACCCAAACAATACAGCTAATTTTTCCCCTACAATTGCTTGTTCCTATCAGCATTATTGACATTTCTTCCTTCCTCGTATACCAAGTATGTACCTTTTCGCTGTTAGACCTTTCAGGGTATCTATTCATTCTTATATTTTCCACGACTCCTTTGACATCTCTAACATGATCTCTAAGAAAGTCCTTTATCAGTTTCCCTTCTAACATCTCTGTCAGAAACATACAATAGTGATCCTCACACTTTGAGTATGCACCAGAATTAACTGGAGGACATCTCAAAACACAGATTGCTGAGTCCCACTCCCAGAATTTCTGATTAGTAGGCTTGGGCTGGGGCTTGAGAATCTGCATTTCTAATGAGTTTCCAGGTGATGCTGATGCTGCATGATTCTCACACTTTACAAACCAATAATATACATACATGCTAGGATTAGGGGCACGACCTTTGGGCAGTTTTCCTGTGTTCAAATCTTACAACAATCACTATGCTCATGGACAGATTACACAAACTCTCTAGGTGTCAGTATTCTCATCTCTCAAGTGAGGCTAATGATACTTCTATTTCAGAGTTAAAGGAAGAATAAAATAAGATAGTGTCTGTAGAGTATAAGGGGAAAAACAGAAAATGTCATCCTGATTCTCCCAAAAAAGCTTAACTCTCATCTTTTCTATCAAAAAACATATTAAATTTGTTCCTATGATGCTAAAAAATTCTAGAGCACTAAAACATTAGCTCTCTTCTAGCATTCATTCACTCAATTTTTATTTTCTTTGGACAATAAAACTTCTTTAATGTTAGCTTTCTTTTTCCAGCCCATAGGAGCATAAGTGCCTGAACTTGTTTGGAATTCTGACATCCTATCACTGTTTCTATTCAGGATATCCCCAACACTTTCCATTCTTGCCTGAAAGTCTACGGTAGCAGATAAATCACAGGTGTAAAACTCTTATCATCAACCAACATATTGTGATGAGTTGAGGGGTAAAGAGAAAATAGCCAACATGTCTCCTTTATCTTAGTCTCAAAATAATTCAATAGAGATGACAGAGCCTACCATGATTATTGCCATTTCTAACCCTAAGTGTGATCTCAAGGCCTCAGGGAAATATTCTTTAATGCTCCTTCCAAAAAGGTTGGATACTGCACCTCTATGAGTTTTTTTTTAATAAAGTACAACTTAAAAAGTTTTATTTTAGTTTTTTTTTTTTTCCACAAAAAATCCTTTAGAACAACTGGAGAAAGGACCACAAGACAAAACGAAGCCTGAGATTACTGATTATTTGAACTGTAATAATGCTCCCCATCACTGCAATCACTAGTACTTAATGAGGCCTGTCTCATCCTGAAGAGTAGCCCACACCTGTAAGTACTTATTCACTGACATAAGGAAGCTTGCTTAAATATGGGCATGGACATAAGACAGAGGGCAGACCAACTGCTATCCTGGGATCAACACTCATCCCTCAGTTGTGAAGATCTGTCTTCTTCCACAGTTTTGCTTGGTTTGAATCCCAAACTTTACCCATATCTTCAAATTCTGCTTCTTGAGTAAGGAGGACCAAATGATAAAAATTAGAGTTAGGCAGGAAACTGGTTTCTGAGTTGTCAAACACTGTCTATAGAATGACCAACTAGACTCCATTCAGAGCTGAATCTGGTCACCAGTTGTGCACTGTGTCCTTGGCTCTTTAAGTTGGGTCAAATCATCCATACACGACTTTACCCCAGTATAGGAAACCAAGCCCCTAACAATAATGATGGCTTAGGAACCTCCTCACCTCTATCTATCCCTTCTTGCTTCTGATTTGCTTATGTTTGCTCTCATCTGTCTGGACCTCCCACATCTGATAACCTTCGAACTCTCTTCCTGACATTATGTACATTGGCACCTCATATATGTTTAATATTAAATTAAACCATTTATGAGAGTCACTGTGGTGTTCCTCAAACTAGAGTAATGCATAGACTCTACCTTTTTAGAGGAAAAAAATTCTCAAAAGACTCTAAGAATATGTCTATGGATTTGATTTTAAGAAATAATGAATATGTCCTGTATCTGCCTGAAACAAACAAACGAAAAACTGAATCTTAATTGCAGTGAAGAAAGTATGATTTATTAAGTTAATATTTATCAAGTAGAATGCAATTTGGGCATTTGAAATCAAAATTAATGAAAAAATTGTTTTTCCCTTGAATGCTTGTTGTGGACTATTATAGGCCTAGCATCCTCTATATCATGCAATACTAATACATTCAACAAATGTATTCCCAAATCCATTTGCATCAATAAAAATGCTCTCTCTTGAAGAGTCTTGCTAGTAGTTGCACGGTTTTATTAACATTCTTAAAAAGCTACAGGTTTCTTGAAGAAGTTAATGCCAAAATGCCATGTAATTTCCTTTATTCCTGACTCTAAATTCCAGCCAGCTTTCAAGGCTAGCTCTACTCTTAGATCTTGACTTATCCAGATAACATTGAGCTATCCTGGCTCTGGACTCCAAGGTATGTAATCTCTACTCCTTAATTATATGCAATCACATACACAGAGAACTCCAGAAACAAACATGCAAACACTTTGATATACAGGCAGAACACAGGGTTATATTGACCTAGAATAGGAAATAAACACAGTAGGTAAGTAGGATCTTGGCATCGTGGGATTCAGCAATATGAAAGGGACTGTAGGAACTATATATAGTACTATAACATCTAAAGGTAATGTTGGTGACAAAAGTAGAATTTTAGACAAGGAGCCAAAGAGAGAATCAAATAAGGGAGGGGCAAAAGCAGGAACGCAGCTGGGGTCAGTAGAAGAGAGGAGATGGAAAATAACAGACATTATCTTATTTAGTCCTCCCATCTCTTTTAAAAAGTTCTTTGTTGTCAAATAACATCCTGAAGGTCACATAGGTAGTAAATAGAAGAATCTGATCTAATCCATCATAACCCAGTTTTTGTGCACTGTGTCCTTTTGCACTGCATCCAGAGTAAAACTGGATTTAAAAAGCCATGGAGAATAAGGCAAAAGGTAGAAACAAAAATGGACCTACAGTAAGGGTGGCATGCTATTGAGCAACTAACTGGCGCAGAGTTTTTAAAATTCATGATTAGACATAGGGCTGGTCTCATGTCTAGAGGAAAGAGGGCACTTGAGCAATACAGGTTGAAGAAAAATGAAGCAGGATACCTAATAGATATTAATTTATTAATATATACTGGAACACACCTGGATCTCTCAATAGCTATGAAGGTTCTTTTTTATTTGTGGTAAAAATATATATAACATAAAATTTACAATTTTAACCATTTTTAGGTATACAATTCAGTGGCATTAAGTACATTCACAATCTTGTGCAACTGTCACAACTATCCTACAGGTTCTTTTTAATACTATTATCTATTCTACTTTGAGCTTAGCACAGTATTACACACATAGAAAAGTGCTCCATAAATAAATGGTTAATTTGCCTAGATACTATCATGTCCATGTGATGATAATGAGAGGATGTGGTCACTCTGGTTATGCTCCCAAGTCATTTGGTGCCTAAATAGAGCTTCTGTGAGTCCTTGACCATGTGGTCATGAGAACTCAGTCACCCTGGGAACAGTAATCAGGGGTTCTTCTTTGAGCTTTTGCCTAATAACATTCTGTCTCATGTCCTTATACATATTATAAATAGAACATTTGAGTACAACTATGGCTATAGCCAAAATCTTCCTACACAAACCCTCCTTACATTAGGGGTTAGGACCTGCTTACATAACCTAATCAGATATAAAACTGTCAAATGGCCACAAACCCTTAATTTTTCTTTCATGTGCCTATCCTATGGGAAGGAAATGTATTTGTCTTGAATGAGAAGAACTCTGTACATGCTCAGTTTGTTTTTTAAATCAACTTTATTGAAAAATAATTTATATACATTATAATATCAATGATTTGACAAATGTATATATTTGTGTAATCATATATGTATAGATTTTACAAACTGCATTAGATCAGAGATTATAAGTTACAATAACTGAATAAATCTTGATTCTAAAAATAAACATTTTGGGGTTCTTGTATCATTTCCTTTTATATGAAAATATATTAATTGATTGTATAGATACCTAATGCAGAAACTTTAAACATTTTGCTTTTTCTAACTTAGAGGCACTGAAAAAGGAAAATGCTTTAAATGATTTACTATATTCAATGTAGGCATTAAATTTCAAGAAAAAATCCACAAACTAGAAAACAAGCAGAGTACAGGAGTGGTACTGAAAAGCCCAGAAATCATATTATAGAAGGAGCACATTAGAGAATCAAGAGTTTTTAAGAGTACAAAATATGCTGAGGTGGGGTAGTGTGAGGAAGGATAATGTTGGTTTTAAAAAGTTGACAAACTTTTATATGGAAAAGAGACAATGTTTGTTCAGTAAATGATTTCAGAGGGAAGTTATTATAGGGCAGAGTTTACTTTACATAAGGAAGAACTTCTAAGAGTTAGAGCTTCAAAATGGAATGGTTGAAGTATGAAGTATCCCTGCACTGTAATTGTTCGAAAAGAAGCAAAAGACTATCTATTTGAGAAGTTGGGTCAAGAGTAGAAGGATTAGGATAGTTGGTTTCTTAAGTCCCTTCCAATTCCAACTCTGTGATCTAGGAATTTCTTATAATTTAAAGCCAGATGTCAGAAGACGTATAACCCCAAATCATGGTTTAATCAAGAAGAACTAAACCTAGCTAGAAGCATAAGCAGAAACAGGCTTGCACAAGTATGTACATACATATATACACACACAAACTCATACATCCAACCTTCCCATAATTTTAGGGAAGGAAAAATAAAAATAATTTAGAAAAATAACAACAAAAAAATCTATTCTATCTTTCTCATCAAATCTACTTTATGTTCCCTAATCTTTGTTAACAGTATCATTGGCTACCTAATTATGTAGAATAAAGCCTTAATGTTTTTTATCTTTGACTTTTCCATATTCCTCCAAAATCTATTAAGTCTACCCCAGAAATACTTCTCAGCTGTCCTTTACCTTTATATAGCACTCCCCCGTTGTCCTCAGGGGATACCTTCCAAGACCCCCAGTGGATGCCTGAAACTGTAGATAGTACCGAACGCTAAGTATTTTTTCCTATACATACCTGCACTTTATGGCTTCTCTTTGGCATATCTGAATTGCCATCATCACTACTTTGTGCTCTGGAGCCATTTTAAAGTAAAATAAGGGTTACCTGAACATAAGCACTGCAATACCTTGATAGTTGATCTGATAAACCAAGACAGCCACTAAGTAACGAATGGGCGGGGAGTGTATACAGCATGGATACGATGGATAAAGGGATGATTCATGTCTTGGGCTGGACAGAGCTGGACAGCACCAGATTTCATTGCACTACTCAGAATGATGTGCAATTTAAAACTTATGAATTATTTCTGGAATTTTCCATTTAATATTTTCAGACTGCAGTTGACAGTGGTAGCTGAAACTGCGGAAAGTGAAACCATACATAAGGGGGGATACTATACTTATATTGCCATTACTGTTGGTGAAACTCTTGCAGTTGATTCCTAACTAGTTGTCCCACCTATAATCTTCCCCTCCCCAAGATTATTATCCACACTGCTAACAGTAATCATTCTGAACCACACACTGGATCACATCACTCTAACCTGCTCAACAATCTATACTGGCTCCTTAATGCCTATAAGGTAAAGTTCAAATTCTTTGGTATGGCCTTCAGTGCCATCTCAATCTCACCCTAACCCTCTTTGCTTTGCTTGCCCACTATACTTTATGCTTTGGTTACATTGCAACACTTATCATTCCTGAAAGACCAAACACTTCTCTACTCCATGTCTTTGTTCAGCTGTTTTCGGATGCACTGCCCACCTCTCCACCTGTAGACAGTTAACTTAATTTCTGAAGTTCAAGCAAATGCTACTTATCTTGTGAAGCAATTCTTAATGCTTCCACCTCACAATCCCTGCCTCCTTTCCCTAGAATTTCTTCTTGGAGCTTATAATACTTTTCATCATACCTTATTTTTGCATTTAGCAATCATGGTTGAAATTTCAGTTTTGTGGGGGTCCAAGCTTATCTCCATCCACTGTAAATCCTTACAGGCAAAAAGCAGGCTTAATTTATTTCTACGTCCAACCTTGTCAGACCCACAATGGTAAAGATCTAACATAATACCTTTTATATAACAAGTGCTTAATAAATGTTTATTGAATTGATTTGGAATTTGAGAATAGACTCCTATTCGTGGCCTAATATGTCTTAAAAATTGTAACTTCTATTAAAATTCTAATCGATACCCTAGTAAAAGCCTCTTATCTCTATTAATCTACCATCTCTGAGCCAAAAACAGTTACATACTTACATTCACGAGGAGAGAAAATTCTGTGACCAGTTGGCTAAGTTCAATTAAGTCCTTAAAAAGAGAGAAAGAGAAGTTACTTACTTTTATCTCTCACAGCTACCAAAAGGAAAAAAAAATTTTAACATACCGCTTCTAAGGTTTCCCATGATTCTGCAGCATTTTGATCTCGAGGAATTTCAGGCAATGCATATATCTGAGTCGTATTCTGAGGATCAGCTTCAGCTTCAGTAGTATGAAATGCTCCTGGATGAACACAGCCTCATGTTTAGAGTTTATCTGCTTTGTTAGAAAGGCGATAGCATAATCAACTTCATGAAATGATTGCCGTATAAAATGCTTACTAACTGAATTCAGGGTAAAAGTAAATTGATTATTTCATAAAAATAGATTTATCTATGGACAGATTGTTACCAGGTTAATAAATATTTTTTCTTTAATTATTCTACAAAGTTAGCTAAAAAAAAAAAAAAAAAGTCTACAAACACTATCTTCCTAATCTGAATAACTAGGGCTAGATGTAGAAGAAGCACCAAAACAAACGAACAAACAAAACAACCCACAAAAACCAAGAAAAAAAACTATTCCATTTGGAAATGTTTCATAAAGAGATACCCAGTAGAAATAGGTTCAACACTTTTCTTTGCTAAATCATTAACGTTTTCTTTGCTAGCTCATTAACGTTTTCTTTGACTATTTTAGGAATAAATTTCAGATTCCGAGGGTATTGAAAATAGGGAAGCAATATGATTTTAGCAATAAAAATCAAGTCATTTTTGGTAATAATAAATTTGTCATCAAACTAACACCTCTTACCATATGTATCTTTTTGTACATATTGTTGCCCTACTTCTCCTGAATTAATTTATGCTCCAAACTTCACCTGCAAGTCTTTCTTACTTCCTTGTACTGGTTTTACTGATCATTCATTCAACTGATATTTATACAATGCCTACTGCATGCCAACTGGTGTGTTAAGATGCTGGGGACAAAATGGTAAATCATAAAAACAGTTCCAAGGAGTCAACATAGTATAGTGGTTAGGAGTATAGACCTTGTCAGAAAGACCTGGGTAAGAAACCTGGTTTGACTATTTACTAGCTTTGACTTGAGAAGGTATTTCATTTCTCTGACTCATTGTCTTCATTTATAAAATAAGATATTTACTTTGCACTGTGGTTGGCTTATATATTAAGAACAAGTGGTTAAAAAATAGTTACCAATACTGCCATTGCTACTGCTGCTATTATTAATGGAGCTTACCATGTAATGTGTGACACAGACACGTTAACAGGCAAGTTCAGTGACAGTCTGAGAAGAACTGTGATGGCTAAGTATGGAATGCTATGTGAACACAGAAGAGAGGTATTTAACCTAGACTTGTAGAGGGGAGAGTGATCAAAGAAGGTTATGAAGCTAAAGCCTGAGGATGAACAAACATTATATTAGTGAACTGGGGCAAGGGTAGAGGGAGAAGCAGAGAGTATTCATGTCAGGGAGAATAATATATTCATAGGTTTGGGAACCGAAAGGTGTTCAGTATAGCTGAAGCATAGACTATGACAAGAGAAAAGCAAAGGTTGAGGTTGAAATCGAAGGTGACAATTTATCGCATTGTAAACTATGTTAAAGAGTTTTATCTTTCCCCTAAGATGAATACAGAACTATTAAAAGGAGTAGGAGACTATTGGGGAACTGGAGGGTGCCATATCAGATTTCAGATTTAGAACAGGAACCATGGCTGTAGTGTGAAGAACAGATTAAGAGTGTAATTGAAAAATAAAAAAATTAGAGAGTGAAAAACAATTGAGAGGCTTTTCAGTATGTCTAGTGTAAAATGATTACAATCTGCTCGAGGATAGTGGCAGTGAAAATGGAAAGAAGAGATCTTTTGCCTCCATTACTTCAAGCTCAAAACACCTATCACTTTAATATATTCTGAGCACCCATTATATATTGTGTTGGGTACCAGGGATGAAAAAGTAATACAAAGTAGCTGTTCTCAAAGGATTTATATTCTAGGACGTGGTTCCATAGTGTAGTGGTTAACACATCTGCTTTACACGCAGAAGGTCCTGGGTTCACACCCCAGTGGAGCCACGGTCCATGGTCTACGGCCATGGCACCCGGAACAAGCCCAATGTCTGATCTCGGAAGCTAAGCAGGGTCGGGCCTGGTTAGTACTTGGATGAGAGACCACCTAGGAATACCAGGTGCTGTAGGCATAAATAATAATAATAAATAACAACAAAAAAAGAATTTCTATTCTAGAAGAGTTAGACCTACAAAAATACAATCCTAAAACAGTAAGATAGTTCATTAATATATAAATAAATAGATATAGATACATATAATATTGTGTGGGAGTTCCAATGGGGTGGGGTGGCATCGGACCCAGCTTGGTACGGTGTGCAGTTTATAGGACAGCTTCCTAAAAAATGTGATCTTACTAGGTAAAGAAGATAGGAATATAAATTCTAGGTAGAGAGACCAGCATGAAAAAGGCCCTCAAAGAAGAAACAATATAGCTTAACATAAAATCAGCAGTTTGGTCTTCCCAAAGCATAAAGTCAAAGATATAGAGTTACAAGTATAAAACATTATAGATGATTAGAAGAGGCCTTGGTACACCAGTTAAAGACTTTGGACTTTATCTTCTAACCCTTTAGAAGGGTTAGAAGCAGGGAAATGAGATTGACTTGTGAGACCTAATCTACTCCAAAATGTAAGTCATTATAATTCTAAGTCCATCTTCATGCTCAATTTTTTTTCAGCCTAGCCTATAAGAGAATTGTATTTTATAAAATTGCATTACTATTTTACTTTCAAAATTTATGAATGTTTTACTTCTCGGGGGAAAAACAAACCTGTCTACATTGTTTAGGAAGGGCATATAGTCCGTTGACTGAAAAGTAATTTGTAGGCTTATCAGAATTGACTGAGTTCTTTTAATTTTGATTCTTATCTGAATACATTTCTTTATCTTAAGAGAAGAGCAAAAACATCAGATACGAAGTTTTACATTACAATATTTTGGCAAGTATCCAATATTTCAAAAGCTCTCTATAATTTTTACAAATGCCTAAGAGTTATTTACCCTATGTTCCAAGTTATCACATAGACACTTAAATTTTCATTTCAATCAAGATAAATGAATTACTCTAACACCTTTCTTCTACTTAATATTCCTATTACAAGAACTCCAACTTCTTTAATAGGCTGATGAATAATAATTTCATTATTGACAGACCAAATGTAAAGCATAACTTCATAGACACCACAATGCCCACTTGAAAGAATTTTTAAGCCACAACCTTTATACTATTAGAGAGGATTCAAATAAAGTATGCCAGAATATGTAACAAAATGAGGAGAGATTATCATTTTTAAGTTCTTGATCTAAAAAATGAAGGGATGGGAAACGTTTGTCATTTTAAGCAAACATTAAAGATCTCCCTCAGTAAAAAATAAGAAATGTTTAAGTCATATCTCACTTGAAACCAAAATGCATATGCATCTTAGTTCAAATGGAGTTGTAGGACAAAGAAATCTGTTCTCTTCCATGGAAAATCCTGCTGTAAACTTACAACTTTGAACATCACTAATCAATTTGAGGCATGACTAATAATTAAGAAAGGAAACCCTTTAATTTCTACAACTTCTATAATTCATTTATTCCAGATTGTATTAAAATCAGTACCTCAGTGGTCATCCACTGACTTGGAACTTTTACAAATTGTTACATATATGAGGCAAAACATTGTGACAGATTATAGCTGCAGGAAAGAAGGCTAAAGAACTCTTACCCTGTCCTCATAAGTCAAAATTGCTATTGTTTCATATGACATAATCATCTCAGTTCCATCCACATGCAAACAACTGCAAGTGTAAAGGGCATAAAGAATACATATACATATATGTAACTCATCGCTGTTTTTCAAACTCCAGTTGTAAACCTTATTATTGACTAGAAACTTATATAAGCATGAAGATATTTTTAGTTGAAGTGAGAAATAAACTTAATAACATTTAAGACATAAAACTTCCTTCTCTCTATATGCCTAAACATTCACTCATTCATTCACTCATTTATTTATACTCATTCTCTCCCTCTCCCCACTCCGACTTCCTTTCTCCATCTTTCATAAAAGGCAATGATTCTACTAAGGATTACAACACAATATATAAGAAATTTCCACTATACTTTTACTACATTAGAAAAAATGTCATTATAAATCTAAATTAATTCAAAAGCATTTCCTGAAATTTTTCATGTTCTGAAAGCTTAAAAACAATAAAATGAATTTATTGATCATCTACATAAATCTATCAAAACAAAATGACTTCTAAGTCATGGTTTAATTTAGCTGCAAAGGAGGATTTTTAAGAAAATTAAAACCAATAGAAAACATATCTTCTGAATAATATTCGAAAACCATCTACATATTTTATAAAACGGTTCAGTACATGTACATACTTGTGATAAAATCTAATATTTCATCAAATTCAATATGATAGTCTAAAGTTCCCAGCAGTATTAGTATTGGATTCTTTTCTTTTGTGAATATTTGTTTAAAATGTAATATTCTGTTCCTGTTGTGCTGGTGAAGTTGTGTGCTGGATGGGGAGTAAGAAAGACAAAGATGGAGAGAAGCAAGATTCAGTCTGTATGACTTGATATACCTTTCTAAATACAAATCAAATCTTTAGGCTCATCACTTTTCTTGGTGGGAAGCAATATGCTAAAAATGAAACTAGACACACAAAAGTGAGACAGAAGGGAGTTTCTCAGATCAAGCAAGATTGACAGAGAAGATTTGCTTTAGGAACTCTCAGAATGTGGACAAAAGAAACAGCAAAATCATCACAGCTTTCTCCGAAGCTTAATAAGCTTCTTTTATTCTCCAGAGAACATAAAATGTCCTATTCTACTTGTTATTTCTATCTGTAAATGAAAAACTATTTTTGAATTTTGATCTGTCTCATGGAAATGTAGCAACATTGGTCCTGAATCTCTGCTGATGTTTCCAACCAATTTATTTAGAATCAGATTGAATTTTTAAAGGAAAAGGTTTTTTTAAGGTACTTAACTTCTTTGCAAATCAAATACATTTTTTTCTGTATAGGCTGTCACTACTATAATGAGTATCTAAAGCAAAAATAAGGAAAAACCAGAGAGCACTAGATAATAACATATAAAATGACAGAAAAGAGTCTATAGCTAAAGGACAACCACACATGGACTAAATTCAATTCCTACTCCACTACTAAAGTCTTATGTAAATTAGCTGCTTTCTTTTCATATTCTTTCCCTCCCATCCTCTCAATTATCCATTTGTTATAACATATCTGGATTTAAGGCAACCGAGTAGAAACTCTCATATCTGGTGAAATACTCAAGCATTTGGTGAGATATTTGATTTTAACTGCTTAATGTTGGCAATGGATTCAAAGTCAAAGCACAATCTGACCGGCAGACCATTCAGAATCTGAAATTCTATTATTGCTTTAGGTATAACTTAGGTATTTTTATAAATGGAATGACTGTTTTAATCAAATCAGCATTGTTTTCAGAGATTCAACTTTGTAGTTTCTCCCAGTGGCAAGTGATTAGATCTTAGGCCAATCTGGTGTACCATGAATTGAGAAGTTTGAGAATCAATAAAGTAGAAAAATGTATTTCACCTGTTATTTCTTCTCTCTCATCCTCTGGCTCTGCCCCAATCTTTTTCATTTCCTCTGTACACATGCTTCCTCAAATTTTACCAAACTTTTTTTTTTTTTTTTTTTTACAGCAGTCAGCTTTCTATGGAGAAAGTTAATTGCCAGCAAACTAGGTAAACTGCCTTCTTCTAGTCACTGCCCAATTCCTCTGATGATATATAAACCCAAGTTTGTTGAGCCCAAACAGTTCTACTGGTAGAAACACAAATAATGTGATAATAAAATGCAAATTAAAGCAAGTTTTAAAATAGTATGACATTGTGAGAAAACTCTCAGAACTCAAAATTTTTGTTTGCTGATGATGGGCAATTCAAAGATACATAGCAAAAGAGACTGATGCCAGCAACTCTTTCCAGAATATCCAGCATATCTTCACTGTTATTACTGCCATCACAACTGTCAAAAATGTCTGGATGTATAAAACAGCCCTTTTATCACATGGAACTATAAAGCCCAGTTTCTCTGTACATGCACATAAAGTATCAGTTAGTACTAAATGATAAGAACAGCACTCAGCCCCATCAATATGGTGGTAATAATTACATATAAACAGAATAATGTAAACAGTAGCTACAAACTATCAAAAAGCATCCTTCCCAAATACTCATTAACTTAAGGGTTGAGTGCTAACATTTCCTTCTCCCCAAAATAACACTTTAGTACTGGTTATCCACAGAGTGAAGTGATTACAGCATATCTGAAATAAAAAAAAGTCTCTAAAAATATATTTACTCATTTATTTATAAAACATTTATTAATGGTCCACTATGAGCCAAGCACTATATACTAGGCGCTATGTACTTACCATGTGCTAAGTACTAAGGATACAATAAAAGCAAGATTACCCAGAAGCTCAGGATGATAGCCTAAATGTTTCCTCTAATTTTTTTCTATCTCCCTATAAATTACTGAATCATTAGCACTGAAAATATAACATTAAAAATAATCTGGTTTTGGAGAGAAGGAGTAGTAAAGGAACCTCCTAGATAAATGAAAAGAGAAAAACTGGGTGAGTGTAGCCTCTCTTAGATTCTATACTAATCTGTAATTTATTTATACTCCACCTTTTCCATAAAGATTTAGGGCAGCTTAGAACATATATAAAATGTAATAAGATGGCATTAATTAAAAATAAAAAACAAACTCTAAAACAAAAAAGGGAAAACAGGGGAAGCAATTATAAAATAAAACCACAATAGTTTAAAAATTTGGCTTTTGGTAGTTAAAAATTTTAAATTTAAGCTTTCTAGTAAATAACTCAAGTAGAGAAACCTTATTGGTGTTGCCATTTAATACTCGTAAGATTATAAAAAAAGACCAATTGCTTTGAAGTACTACTATGCATTAAAAAAGATTTATTTTTTCAGAGTTCCTTATAAAGACATTATATTAATGTAATAAACAATTACCAATTACATCCTTAGTGGAGATATAGTAAGTAATTTCACTGGGCTGTTTCCTAGAGTATCACTTCATAAAAGTTGATGGCATTCCTATAGATTTTTGTTTTTACGTTTCATTTAAATTCAGAAAACTGAGCTGAGAGATAGATCTAACATCTCCTGTGGAAATTAGAATGCCTAAGAAAAAAATATGACTGACTAGGTCACCCCTACACCTAGACATGAGGGGAGAGTTCTCTGCAGACAAGGATGACATTCTCCTTTGGAAATACTTTAAAACTGATTTTCAATATCTTAGACAAATAGGTACTTGAAGCCCTGTAGTGCTGCCTAATACAGCATAGCCTCAAAATTTTATCCTACAAAACTTCTAGGATGTGTACTTCCAGGCACATTCATAGTCCAAGAATTCAGCATGCGGTACTAGGAAGTGATCCCTGGAGACTTATATATTATCTACAATATCTACACAAGAAGGTGAACATTAATTATCTGCATTACTATGACTGAGAATAAGACTTAGTACATTACCACCGACAGTCACAGATCTGGTCAAAGGAGGCTGTAAAAAAGTTTCTTCATCATTAAATTGTTTCTTAAGTTCTTCTACAGATTCCAGATGGAGTTGGAGAAATTCGGCTGTTGCTGCTGATGCTTCTTCTTTAACAGGATCTATCATTCTCTTCAGAAGTCCTAAGTCGTCCTTTCGAACTTTCAAACAAAGCTTCTCCATTTCTCGAATATTGGAGCGGAGTTGCTATAAAAGAAAAAAAAATCATTAAAAATGCTACCACATATCTTAGTATTAAATATTTTTATTTTCAGAGGTAATTTGTGATAATGGTTGTGAATAGAAATGATTACAAGTATTCTGTACAATAGAAGGTATGCATAATACTTTCTATTTTTTATGTCTCTGACCAAATACAGCTTCTTTAGAATTCACATCCTCATACTTTAAATTTATTTAGCATTTTTCCTTCGTTAAATGTGATTATTAAAAAGGTAACAAATGTTCTTCATAATATATCAAACACTGCAGAAACACAAGAAAAATTTAATGACTTCCTTACTTCACTAATCCCACCACCTCTTAACCCACATGTCTCATTGCTCATGCAAACACTGCCATATATAGCCTTAATTTTTTACAAAAAAAAAATGGATTATATTATGCACAATAATATATAATTTGTCATTCTATACTCCAATTTAACAATATCATCATGGATATCCCTTCTGGTCAGTGGCTGTACCATATTCCATAGTGTGGATGTAATAACGTATTCAAACATTCCTCCACTGATCAACAGTCATTCGTATTTTTTCAAATTTTTAGTTGTTATAAACTATGAAACAAATGTTCTTGAATATAAATCCTAATATGCTATAAAAGTATATATTAGTAATGTAGTATATACTATTCTATTTTTTAGGAGTAATACCCAAAAGAGATGGTACTCAGTGAAAGGATAATGTGCATTTTTATTTCAATAGCTAGGATCAGTTTTTTTCCCCAAAAGGCTGTAACAATTCACACTACCACCAAAGTATGAGTGCCCATTTTCCCCACGTACTGCCAGTATTACATGTTATCTCGCTGTTTTTTACTTTGCATTTCTCTCTGAGTAAAGTTGCTCAATTCTTTTCCAAATAATTTTACCCTCTCTTTAAAATAATCTTTTGGCATAATCATAAGTTTTCCTCTAATGTGTTGATATAATGAATTATGAGGTATCACAAACAATGCAACAAACTATCCAAGTGTCATACCAACAAAAACACCAAATAAACCATGAACACTGAAAAAAAAAAAGGGCAGTGCAGCCCCCAGAAGACTATAATAATAACAACAACAAAAAACACAGTAAGATCATGTAAGACTTCATAAAGCAACAATGAGAGCCAGAAGACAGTAGAATGATACATTCAAAGTACAGAAAGAAAATCACTACCAACCTAAAATTCTATACCCAGCAAAAATATCCTTCAAGACCAAAGGTAAAATAAAGACATTTCAGACAAACAAAAACTGAGAGAATTTGTTACCAGCAAATACACAGTAAAGGAAATACTAAACAGTGTCTTTCAGAAGGAATGATAATTTATTCCAGACTTAAAGTTGTAGGTAAAGAAAGAAATGAAGAGCCTTAAAAAAATAGTAAAAATGTAGGTAAATCTAGATAATCAGTAACTATAATAAAACAATAATATAATGTCTTGGGGGTTTTCAATATGTACATAATTAAAATATGTAAAAATAGAATTTAATTTGTGGGGCACACATAGAACTAAAATATTCCAGGGTATCTGTATAATCTGTATTGTTTACAGGTATATATTGTAATTTCCAGTAAATGGGTATATAATTCCAAAACAAACAGAGGAACAACTGGATCAATAAAAAATATAAGATCAGTTTAAAAGAAGTAAAAATGGAAATGAAAAAGAACAAAGACTGTGGAAGAAGTAGAAAGCACACAATAATAGAGAGACAGATTTAAACTTAAATATATCAACAATTACATTAACTATAAATTGAACAAATGTTCCAGTTACAAGATAAAGATTTTCAGACTGGAAAAAATACAAAACTCAAGAAATATATCTAAAACATAAATACAGATAGTTCAAAGTAAAAATAAAAATAAAAAAGATAAACCATTCAAATATAATAACCCATCTCCAAAGAAAACCTGCTATAGCAATACTAATATCATAAAAAATAGACCATAAAGCCACAACAGTTATACAATCACTCTTCACCAGGAATATATAATTCTAAAGTTGTGTATACCTAATAACATAGCCATTACACACACACACACACACACTCTCTCTCTCTCTCTGCAAAAATCGACAGAACTACAAACAGAAATAAGTAAATCCACAATCATAATATAAGGCTTGAAAAAACCCCTTTCAGCAACTGATAGAACAAATGGACAAAAGGATGCAAGAGAATTTGAACAATAAAAATTGATTCTATACTGAGTCTTAAAGAAAGTTTCAACAAATTTCAGAAATATTGACATCAGACAGACCATGTATTCTGATCATAAAATTAAACTTGAAATCGTTAACAAAAATATATGTAAAAACACTATATGTCTGGAAATGAAGGAAGACATAAATAATCTACAAGGCAAAGAAGAAATCATAATGGAAATCAGAAATGCTTTGAACTGAATCAGAAAAAATAATGCAGGCTAAAACTTACAGGCAGCTAAAGCAGTATTTAGAAATTTATAGCTCTAAATGCACATATATTAGAGAAGAAGGAAGCCTGAAAATTAATAAAATAAATCTTAAGAATATAAAAAACAAATAGCAAAAAAAAATGCAAAGATAGTAGGAAGGAGAAAATGATAAAGTTGTGAACATAAATGTCATGAAATAGAAAAAACAAGCATACAGTAGGTTTAAAAAGCCAAAATTTGACCTTTGGAAGACTAATAAAATTCATAAACATCGCTGAGAAGTAATTAAAAAATAGAGAAGGCACATATAACCAAAATCAGAAATTTAAAAAAGGGTACATTACTACTGATTTTCATATATTAAAAGATATTATGAACACGTTTTTGTCAATAAACTAGAAAAGTCAGATGAAACAGAAAAATTCCTAGAAAACTCACAAAAAATAGAAATCTGAAGTCAAATAACCATTTAAGAAATTAAAGGTACATTTTGAAACTCCCCTATTTCCCTAACACATACATAAAACCAAAACCAACCAAACAAGAGGAATCCCAGTACAGATGGCTTTGCTGGCCAATTCTTCCAAAGATTTAAAGAAAATTACACTAATTCTTTAAGAGAACTGAAAAAGAACATTCTCTAACTCATTTTATGATAGCAAACCTGGACACCAAAACTCAACAAGAAGAGTAAGAAAAGGAAAAAATTCAGATCAGTTTCACACACTTGTGAACAAGATGCAAAAATTCTAAAGAAAATGTCATCTATTTAAATACAACATCATATAAAAAAGTAATAATAATAATAAATCGATAAGATGTTCATGGTTTGGAGGATTCGATATTGCAAAGATGTCACTTTGATAGACATCCATATATCAACAGATTCAATAAATATATTTACTCTATAGACTCAGTATCTACTAATTCAATAAAGTTGAATAGAATTTGAATCTACAGATTCAATAATATATAGATTCAATAAGTAAGAATATATTTGAAAAAGATTCTTTTTGTTTTTGTGGAACCTGACAAGCTGATTCTAAAATGTATATGGAAATGCAAATACAGGACTGAGATTAGCTTTTGAAGAAGGTAGATTGAAGAACTTCCTCTACTAGCTACTGACTGATTATAAAGCCACAGCAATTAAGACAGTGTGGTAATGGTGCAAGAATAGAAAAATACATCAATGAAACAGACATATATGTACTGAATTTATGACAAACGTGGCATTACAGGACTGGGAGAGATGGGATAGAGGATCTTTCCAAAACATGGTGATTGGTTATTCAAGTATCCATATGGCAAAAAATAAAACTGGATACACCACCATACACAATAATCGACCAAATGGTTTGTAGACCTAAATGTGATAGGCAAAACAATTGAAGAATATCTTCATGACACTGGAGGGAAAGACCTCTTAACCATGGCATAACTATAAAATATCAATAACCTCGACTGTATTAAACTAAATAAACTTGTAGTTACCAAGGGACACAACTAAGAGAGTGAAAAGTTAACCACTGAGTGGAAGAAGAAAATTTCAACACATACACTGATAAAGGGGCCACAGGTAGAATAAAGAATTCTCACCAATTAGTAAGACATAGGCAACTCATAGAAATGTGGGCAAGAATCCTAAATAGGCACTACTCATAAACAAATAATTACTCAATTTCTCTAATAATCTGGATAAATGTAAATTAATGTAAATTAGTTATCCACTAAAATAGCTAAAATTAAAGACTGAGTTTATGAAATATTGCTGAGGATGTGGCACCCACAGTGACTCACATTTACTGCTGTAAGGAGTGTAAAATTAGTATAACTATTTTGGAAAACAGTTTGGCATTATCGACTAAAGTTGAAAATAAAGATGCCTGATGAACCAGCAATTTCTGTCCAAGGAATATACTCAACAGAAATGTATGCACATGTGTACCAGTAAAAATATCTATAAATGTTAACAGCATGTGTAATAGAGACTGGACACACCCGAATGTCCATCGAATAGAATGGATACATTATGGTGTAAACTTCTAAAGTGGAACATATACAGCAATGAAAATTACTGCTGCAGACAACAACATAAGCAAATCCCAAACAAGAAACAAAAGATATATTCTGTTTAATTCAATTTATATGATGTTCAAACAGAGACTAAATTAAACTAAATTCTTTTTTTTTCCCCCTCCTCTTTAATTTCCCCCGACACCACTTCCACCCCTGACCTATGGATGTTGCCGTTTCCCCTTAAGAACTGGATCTCTGAAGGTGGGCTGTCTCCTACTGCATACTCGCAGTGTGCACCTGGGGCCTGGTGCTCCCAGGGTCTGGTGCACCCGGGCACTTGGAGTATGGTCCCTGGCTCCAGCTGGGGCGCGAACCCAGGACCTTCTGCATGTAAAGCAGACATGCTAGCCACTACACTATGGAGCCAACCCCCTAAACTAAATGATACATCTTTGTAATAAAACTATATAGAAAAGCTAGGGAGTAGTTACCATATAAATCAAAAATTGATTACTTTTGAGGGAGAAAGGTGGTTATA